CTTGAAAATGGCAGCAGTGACTGTCGAAATATTGTGAAAATAAATCTGTGATTTGAATGAATCATGATCTTCTCAGCAGTTCTCTACTTCATTTCACTATTTAATCTTACTGCTCCTCGCTCTTCATATCGAAGCCTTTTGGACGATACACCCTATGTTGTACATATTGATAATTGTTTGTTTGATCTAATTCAATACCACCCAGTCGACTTGTTTCTTGTTTGAATCTTTGTATTTGTCTCTTCTCTTCTAAGGTTCGTTGATAGACAACCCAATTTGTTGCAGCCTGCTGATCGGTGGTCCTTTTGTGTTCACCAGTTTGTTGAACGTTACCTAATTCTACATCACCACCAGAAAGCTCAATCCCTTTCACTCGGGAATCCCGGTCAATGGAAATCTTCTGCTAGACAGTACCCCAGACTCACGAACAGAACTTCCTTAAATTTTCCTTGTTATTGTGCTGTTGGATTTGCAATAACACCGGCTAGTGCACCGCTGTTAGCATTCATCCTTTCTTTTATATAAGACCATCGATTATAAACAAAAAAGTTATCCTTTAGCAATAAAACTCGATCTATTTATACGTGCAATAATCTTGACTATGCTCTACGCAATAACCTTGAATATTCTTGCACCATAGCCTTGAATATCCTTGCGCAATAACCTTGACCACAGTCTTGCACTATGAGCTTGAATATATCCTTGCGCAATAACTTAGACTATATGCTTGCGCAATAACCTTGAGTATGATCTTCTACCTTGTGGTAAGACTCCAGTACGTGACATAACAGGCCCTTCCGTTGATTCTGCTTGGATTTCTATTCTATCAATTTGTTCACTGAGTTGTGTCCATAGTAACTCCAAACGCCAAATAACTGGTGGTGTACGACAACTTATTCAGGCACGCCATGCCAAAGTCGTAAGCAGCTCCAGTATTGGTGGATCCTTCCGTTGATTCTACTTGGAGTTCTATACTAGCAATTTGACGAGACCGGTTTTCGCTCAGTGTTGGCGAGTGAGGCGAGCTCTTGTGAGTGTGCTTCGCTTCCTAATATGCTTCGTGTATGATATTGACGTGTGTTGTTGTCCATGGACGAATACAGGTCGTTCACTGCGATGTTGGATTGACAATGACAGACAAACGGTATCAAGTTCACCATACTTGGCAGGAATAAAAAGAGGCACGTCACGACTATTATGCAATCCGAAATTTAAGTTATGCCAATGATAGTCCAAAATAGTTGTTGTCTTCATGTGCATGCCAGGTATTGTCTGTTGAGAAATCTTGCGCAGTCGACTAACATTGTTATAACTGTTTAATTTGCTAGTGATTACTGTAACTGTTGCTGATCTAATTCTCTTAGTCTATTATCTAACATCATATTGATATTATTATGTTTTCTCTTAAAATTGATATTTGAGAGGCCCAATCATTAGATTTACTGCAAAAATGAACCTGCAATTTGTCATCTTTTCCTAGAACAGAAGACAAAACCTTTATCTGTTTTGTAAAGTAACGATGAATATTGCAGTAAGCAGCTCTTTTCTTAAGAGCCGAAATGTGTGAAATACTTTCATTGAACTCATTCGTTTGCTCAATAGGTAATATAGCATTAGTCTCTACACTGAAAGTAGTCTAGTTCAACAAAACAGAAGAACACCCGCGATAGCTCAGTTGGTAGAGCGGAGGACTGTAGATGCAACTAGCAAATGTAATCCTTAGGTCACTGGTTCGACTCCGGTTCGCGGGATTCGTTTTTCTTTTTGTAAATCTACATTGAGTGATATGCGTGATTGTCGTCGAAGTTTATCTGTGCGGAAGATGCTCGGTTCTGAATACTGACATAACTAACTTGTCGAGATCCTACCAGCATTTTTAATGATGCCTGGATCACATAAGAGCAATGTAGATATCTATGGAAGGCTTATAAGGTCGTCATCAGAGTTTGGCAATACTAAGTCGTGGAAGATGCTCCAAGCCTTACCTTACCATGCTTTGTATAACAAATACGTTATGTTCATACCTTACTCGTCTGCGTCCTCGTCATACACAACAAGTGCTGTCTCTCCTGGTAGTTTGCACAATATAAAGGTCATTCTTAAGCATGTTGTTAGTGAAACAGTAAACAAGATCTTTTAACAATTCACTCAGAGAAATTTCAAATACACGCTTCTTCTTCTATCAAAGTGCATGATGCACTTTGTGAGTATGTGCACAAATTGCTTTTATTTTATGATGTGGCACTGCCCTCTTCATTCTGCTAATGTACTGAGTACATTAGCAGAATGAAGAGGACAGTCTTTGTTAGCACAAGCACATTTGATGGCATCAAATGTGCTTGTGCTAACAAAGAGACCATTTCTTATAAATAACTGCTGAAATAGGTGCGACAGATGACTTTTATGCTCTCTCAGAGCACGTGTACAGTGATGGTGCAGAAAAAGAAAAGTATCGTCAAATGACTGGAAGTCAAACGAGAAATTATACAGAGGTAAAAACGAAGACGTCCAACATGGGACTCGAACCCTCGACCCTGGGATTTACAGGATCCATTCTGCATTTTTTACGGGATCATTTCAGCTTTTTTCCTTGAAAGAATAGAACTTTTCAAAATACGCTTAAATTTCAGTTCTGTCAGAAATCGACAGTGAATAAGCGAAAACATAATTAATGACGCCAACTCTAACGGCCTAAATCGCAGTTGGCGACTATCTATGTTATGCATATTCTCTCAACATCCCACCTCATGCTTTTCTCTTAAAATGCTACAGCGATTCTGTAAAAAGCTATAGATCGCTGTGGTTAGTTGACTATCGAACTAAGAACAGGATACTGGAGCTGCTTACGACTTTGGCATGTCGTGCCTGAATAATTTGTCGTACACCAGCAGTTATTTGGTGCCGGGAGTTACTATGGACACAACTCGGTGAAAAAATCCATAGAATAGAAATCCAAGTAGAATCAACGGAAGGAGCAACCCATATTAGACCTACTTGCGGTTTTGATGTGTCGTGCCTGAATAACCAGCCGCACGCGAACAGTTATGTGGCGCCGAGCAGTCACCATGGACGCAACCTGGCAAACAAATTGCTAGAATGGAACTCGAAGTGGAATCAACAGAAGGACCTACCAAAGCTGAGTTATAGGTTTGCTAAAAACCCCTGATTTTTCAAATTTCGCACGTAAAATCTTATTTTTTCCGCTCAGGAACACTTGTGTTTAAAACCAAGGTGATACTTAGAATCAGCGCAGCAAACTGCATTAAATGATGTATCGTACTCTTATTTTTTGGAGAAAAGTTTTTCTACGAAGTTTTCACCCATGAGGCCCCTTCGGCCGAAGGGATTGAAAAAAGCAAATCCCTTTTTTCGCATCTAACCATTCGGTAGACTTATGACTAGCAATAATAGAGACGAAAAAAAATGTTTACCCAAAAGAAAAGCTTATGTCCGCCTGCCTTATCCAGAAATGCCCGTTGTGCATGGCTGGCTCCTTCTCGTAAAATTCATTTTCATTATTTTGTCTTTCTTCTAATTCCATAGCCAACAATAAATTTATATTTGGCTTCTCTGTAATCATTGACTAGCAATAAACCGTGAACATTGTTAATAGTATTAACATACATTTAACAAATGATAGTATTAGTTTTAAACAAAAATATAAATTATTAACATTATATTCGCGATTCTGAAGTATTTTTTCGTGATTTACTATATTTTTTCTTGCATAACATAATTGATCCAGGAAAATTAGCAAATCATGGCACTGCACAGTCCTTCAACTGAGGCTCATTGGCCAACTATGTCTTCTCACTTAACTAAAAGATTTAACTTCACAAAACATTGATATTATGGAGAAGACAAAAGGAAAACAGAGCAATTCGACACAAAAGAAACAAAATAAGCTAGCAAAAAATATAATCCCACAGGTATTCTAATCTTTGGATAATGGTAATTTAACTTTTTTTGGTCTACCTTTTCCTTTTCTTTTACCAATTAATTGTGGCATTGACTGACTACCCCATAACATTAATAAACCTAAAGCATGTACGCAAGTAGATTCTTTTAAACTAGTTTGACATGTACAAAATAATGGTGGTAGTAGACGTGAACAGTTCACTAAACGTGCTGAATTGAGCCAATTAGAAAATTCATCATAACTGCTCCAAGCCACTGCATAAAATTGTTGAACCCATATTGTTGTACTCATGTTTTCATTTTTTGATAATACTACATAAACATTTGGATTCACCTGTAATATTTGGGTTTCATCCACTTGCTGTAACCATGTGTATGCAGCTAATTTTAAATGATTTTTATATGTAGCATGTAACTGAAATGGCTTTTTTTCACTATCTGTTGACCAATCGATTAGCATTCGTTCAGCTGTTTTCAAAAATGCAGATAATGGACGACGATTTCTTAATGTGTAATCTTTTTTAATTCTACCATTAAGTGATTCTAGTTCATTATTTGTTGATGGTGCTAAAGAAACGGCTCTTTCGTATATCAATACGGTACCGATGATACCCATTCTTGTTCAAAATATTGTCTAAAATCATTTAATTCAGCATCTGTTGACCATTTTAATAACATAAACCGTGTTACTATTGCAAGTATTTGATCGTCAAATATTAATTGCGCATTAAAAATATCTTTTTCGACTAATAACCATTTATTTTTATTTTTAATTAGTTTTCTATGTTCGCGACATTTACGAATCATATGAAACCAGTACATTAAACGTCTTGCTAACGAAATTTCCGACATGGCACTTGTTAAACCTATATAAAGTAAGACCAAAGATAACCATATTGTAAAATGATTCTTATGTACAAAACTTTGTTACTTACCAGGTGATCCATCAGCCACAACATGTGAGATTGTGTAGGCTTGATTATTAACTGCTGATTGTTGAATACCACGAAATAATGTACGAAATGTATCAGCCGATTGGTCTGTTGATATTAAACAAATACCCATTGGATAAAATCTATGATTACAATTAGATGTCCCAAATACTAATAATGGTAATTCATTTGTTGTTATTTTGTAAGTGCAGTCAATAGTGAGTACGAATGAATATTTACATGCAGATAATAACTGACGTGTTGTTAAACATATAAATAAATCATTGACATCATTAGCCACATAATAAGGTATAAATATGTCGTGTTGTTTTGTATCAATAGACAAACCTGGATGTAACGCCTTCATGACTTTATTAATCTGAGATGTTACTAAGCCGTTGTCTGACATTCTACTGATATTTTCACAAATTGGTGATAGTAGTCGAGTAGTTGGATGCAGTTTATATTTTATATAATTATTATAATTTATATGTACCATCAGACGACTGTTTTGCTTTCAATTGAAATTTACATAATGGATATTTCCGATATGCTGAACAAATATATGTATAACATAATCCATAATCCTGTTGTCCTGTACGTTTTTTACATGTATTATTTTCTTTTGTGATTGTTAATAACTCATCTTCATCTTTACATAAAAAAAATTCTTGCCATATTCGGGTAGACATATTGATAACAGTACATTTTTGAAGTAAGTATTATGCATTGTGAGGAATATCACTTTGACAAACGTTTTTATAGTTTTCAATGGAAGACAATGACTGTCGTCTTTGTGATCTGAGATAATGAGATTGCAGTTACATGGTTCCTAATTATGTTTCTCGTAAAAGACAGTATACAAAAGTAGTCAATTTGTACTATGGATAAACAGCTCAAATTGTATATTCTTATCTAATTATATAAAACAAATCTTACCTATCCTTAATCTGAACTGTTTTCTTTTATAAATTTATCGGATTAATCACTTAGTAAGAAAAAGTATATTTAAATACTCAAAGACCACATGGTTAGCCAATGAGCCTCAGTTGAAGGACTGTGCAGTGCCATGATCCGCTAATTTTTCGGGATCAATTGTGTTATTATATAACTAATTAAAAATTGTTAGAAAAACCGAGATCATTTGTGCATTTTTTCGTGAAAATTAGTACACGAGATCAATTGTGCTAAATTTTCGGGATCAAAAATGTATTTATCCTTCAACAATTGATAGAAACGTTTTCTTTAATTTTTTTTTCGATTTAAGAATTAACGCATGTACACATACGTTACCGTTGTCGATAACTGTTACGATTTATAGTCATCGGCAACGGCAGTCGAGATTTTTTCGAAAGACTCGGGTTCGAACTTGAGTTTTAGTGTTTCATCACCGGAGCCATATGTCGTTTGTGAGGTAGAAAACACATTTAGAACTGCATTCTGGATTCAAAAGATTAAAATAATCATTGATGATCCAAGCTCGAGACTAGACACTAGCACTGAGCTAGTACTCTCGAGACTTAAACATAAGAATAGAGTTATTATTATAGTTATGAAAATTACAGTTGAAATGAATTGATCTGATTGTCAAACATGATTATGTCGTGGCGAATGGAAACATTGTTGATTCTATGCACAAAGTGTAGCAGCGACTGAGACAAGGATGTTCACAGTCTAAAAACAGTAGCGTTATGCTTATGCTGAAATTGTGACATACTATGATACCTCTGCAGCCTGACATGTCCAGATAGTGTCTTGAAATGAGTCTAGAATAAAAAGATCCCTCAGAAAAACACATGTATTTAGAGGAGATAATCAACAGTACAAAAACGATGATTTACTTTTGTGTTTTAGATATTACTGTGAGTGACGGATAATCCACTAGAATTGTTAGCTAATGAAATTGAATATCATATTCGTATCAATGATTCTAATGATATCGAACAATCATTATCAACATTAAAAAAAGAATGTCATCAGACTCATGTAAACTTAAACAAAGATCTGTACGTTCAACTTAATGTTATCAATCAATTATTTATCGAACGTGAATCATTATCGCTATCTTTATCTACTGAATTAATGAATGTTCAACGTAATTTATATGCAACAACAAACGATCTAAATGGAAACGACAAAAATCTTTGAGCTGATGAAAAATACAAGAGAGAGAACACGTAGAAGAGCCATAATACTGGAGTTGATTGATACACAAAATTATTAGAAAAATAGCAACAGAATGCATATGGGAAATGTAAATAGTAGTGCAGTTGATAAAAAAATGCCACGGAAACGTCTCATTTTGTCAGAAATGCTCGTAAGAAGTTACTAATAGACATCCGAAACTTCGTTTTTCACAGATCCAGTGTTTATCCATTTTAGTACAGTTTACATACACACACGTGCTGATAGGGAGCTCTCTTAGCTGTTCAAATAACTTTTGTATTCACAGCTATCGGCAATGAGGTCTAAAGATTGTTGAATAATTTGAGACTCACTGTACTCTAACAACAACGTTCACTCACTTTGTTTTTGCTTTTACTTTTAGTTCACTCGATTTTTCGTCTGATGAAATTTTAATACCAGTAGGAACAGCAATAGCTATAGCAGTTACAGTAAAATAAGCACGTGTATCAACATCTATACCCACAATAAATATATGATGAGCTCATACAATAAAACCAAGCGATCCAATAGAAATCATAGCATAAACTATACCCAAATATCCCAAAACCTCTACTTATAAAAATGTTCTAATGACAATTTGAGAAATTATACCAGAACCTGGAACAATTAGTATATAGACCTCAGGATGACCAAATAACCAAAACAAATGCTGAAATAAAATAGGATTTCCACTCCCTCTAGGATCAAGGAACATGTACCAAAATTAAGATCAAATAATAATATCGTAATACTCCCAGCTAACACAGGAAGACTAAGAACTAATAAAAACCTTGTAACAACTATAGCTCAAGTCTAATAAAAAAACTAACTTTACTCTTAAAACAAGTACCAATAAAATGAATACCATCTAAAATAGAAGGAGTCCTATTTAAATGATCAGTATTTTATTATGAATGATCAGTATTTTTTGATCAGCAAATATATGGTTTTTGTGCAGTAAATAATTTCGAATGTTAGTAATTAAATCAAAATATGATCAGTGAATATATTAGTTTTGGTTAGTGAATAATTTTTTTTTTGATCAGTTAATTTTCAATTTATATCAGTGACAAATAGTACAATTACAAGTAACAAAATTTTATTGAATAAGCAGTGCTTTTTTAGCTTTTGAAAGTCGACCTCTACATCTTTTTTCTCCAATTTTAATGTTCTTCGCAGCAGGTGGTCTACAATAATTTAATCTTATTGCCAATCCAACGACATGTTTGCACATAAACTTTTTGAAAAATGCAGGACAATTACATTGACCATCTAACCATTTTGCTTCATCCATTGGTAATGTAACATGCCAGATATTAACTGGTTTAGTTTTAATTTCATTTTCTAGTTTCGTCGTTACAATTGACTTGTTTAACTTGACCCATTGATAACTATTCGTCCATATATATCTAATGTCACCGTTTGCTTATCATGAAATTGTTTGAGACCTCGTTCATACGATTTTGACCATTTTTCAACAATTTCTAATGTTAAAATTTTAAATCTGGATAATGGAAGACGTTCACAAAATGTATTTTCATCCTTAATAACTCTGTTGTTTGATTCTAAACCATTATTTGTGCTTGGAGTTAAATGTTTAATGTCCTCATACCAACCATCATGTGAATTTAACCATTGATTATGAAAATATTCGATAAATTTTGGTTCTTTCTTGTTCCATTTTTTGATAAAAAGATTGGAAGCTTTCGTAAACATTCGTACACTTTGTGCTAGTTGTAACGCTTCAATATCTTCTATCAAATCCACTTGTCCCATCTTCTCTACCATAGATTCAATCTTCTTTACCACCTTCCACCGCATATGAGCCCAACACATAACCGTAGGTTTTTCTCCAAAAGTTGCTTGAAATCCATTATGAATTGTATCTGAACCATCTGTAATCAAAACATCTGGATCAATTTCTTGTAAATCAAGTTTCTTTACACCATCTTGAACAGAAATACTGAAAAATACTGAATATGAGAAAAAAAATGACAAGAACGATAATCGAGAGACGTTCTAGAACGGTAAATACTGATAAAAATGCAATGATTCACTGACCAAACATATTTAATTACTGATATTTTAGTTTCGGTACTGATAAGTTCATTATTTTACTGATAAAATGATTAAATTACTGACCAAATCCAATAGTCACTGATCATGAATTATTTTACTGACAATTCAATTTTTTTACTGATCATTTGCATTTAATACTGATCAAATTTTACTGATCATTCATAATAAAATACTGACCATTTAATTTGTACCCAAATAGAAGACACACCAGCAATATATAGACTAAAAATAGCCATATCAACTGAACTACCAAAATGAAATACTGAATTAGATAGTGGAGGATAAACAGTTCAACCAGTACCAGCTCCTAAACTAAATAATAAACTTAAAATTATAAATATCAAAGCTACAGGAACCAATCAAAAACTTAAATTGTTTAAACGAGGAAAAGCTATATCCAAAGAATTTAATATTAAAGGAAGCAATCAATTATCACAACCACCCACAGCAACAGGTATAATAAAAAAGCAAATTATTAAAAAAGCATGTGCAGTAACTAACTATAGCATTATATAAGTGTTCACCTAAAATTAAACCACTAATAACTCCTAACTCTGTACGAAACTTAACTAGCTCCTAAAATACCAGCTCAAATACCAGGAATAAAATATAAACTTCCAATATCCTTATGATTAGTAGAATAAAATCAACGAAACATAAATCCTTATTTAAAATAATAGATAAAAATATAAAAAATAATAAAATAAAAAATAAAGACTTACTAAAAAGAACTAAGTCCATAAATAAAAATAAAACTGAAATAATAAACTAACAACAAAGCATCTACAAACATTATAAAAAAAACTAATTTTAAATTAACCCTTTGGCTACGAGAGTATCATATATGGTACCTGACTGTTAGCGGTGATATTTATGCAGGTATTCAGAAGTCTATTGTTTCTCTTGTTCTCTCTATTATTGAAAATCTATCAAATGGTATAAAAAACTCTTCTTTCACTTACTGGATATAGCAGTTCTCAATGCATTTATATTGTCAAAAATGAGGACAAATCACACGATGCAATTAGTTGATTTTCGCCTACAACTAATTTGGGATATTATCCAAAAATATGGTAGTCAACGAGTAGCAACCAGGGGTCGACCTTCATCAACAACTGCACCACTCAGGTTAACTGCAAGGCACTTCCTCTCGCCGATTCCAGCCACAGACACACAGTCAGCACCTAGGAGAAAATGTGTCGTCTGCAGCAACACTGTCAGACGTCCGAAAAGAAAAGATGTACTCTCACGTTATCAGTGCACAGAGTGTGATGTAAGCTTATGCCTTGTTGATTGTTTCAAAGATTTTCATACTCTGCAAAACTTTTAAGAATAAATAAACATGTGTTTCAATATTTGAAACGTTTTGTGTAAATTGTATCTGAAAAATTAAACCCGTAGCCGAAGGGTTAAATAAATTAATAACCACTATATACTTATAAATAAAAAGAAAAAACGGAGGAACCACAATAAACAAAATAATAATTAAATAATTAAAATCATCAAACTTTATAAAAGAAAAAAACACAATCAAAATAAAAGTAATAAATATATATGACATTAATAAAAATCAATAATTAACAGTAAATATACTAACTAAAATTATACCAGTATTTCTAATAGATGAATCAACTATTAACAATCATAAACTATAAGTAAACCTATAAAAGAAACTAAAATCCTAAAAAGTATAAACAAAAACATAAAAAGAATTAAATAAATATAACAATCATAAAAGTTAAAAGTTAATAATTTTTTGAAAAACTACAATATAAAAATTTATAAAAAAGGTTATTTCAACGGTAATAACAACCACCCAATAATGAAAAGAAGCAACCTCTAATTTAAGGGTACCCTCCTCTCTTTTTTTACCATCTTGGAAACCGGGGAAGCTGATGTCGGATAGGGTTCAAATTTATGCCAGAGATAGAACATCGAAAAATAAAATCAATATATTTTTGCCCAGAATTTTTTGACGTGTTTTTCTATGGGTTTTCTGGAAAACTCCAGTTTTCATCCAGTCACATTACGACCCCCCGAAAAAAATGGTCCGATCGAGCTCAAAATTTTATTACAGATACTTCAGATTCTATCTCAGGTTCGTTTTTTTCTATTTTTGAAAAATATGCTTTCTTTGTCGAGATATTCGAAAAATACTGAAAATCCCATATAAAAAACTGGTTTTTCACTTTGAAAACCTTCTCACGCCGAAAGTTGAAATCGAAAACGCTTTAAAAAAAAAGAACCTGAGATAGAGTCTGAAGTATCTGTGGTAAAATTTTGAGCTCGATTGGACCATTTTTTCGAGGGGTCGTAATGTGTGCCAATTGAAGGGACTATTAAAAAACGCATAGTGAGAAAAACACATATTGTACACACGGCTCTGTTTTTCAGGGCATTTGCGGCAATGCTTATATCTCTAAGAAAACTCATCGAAAAATTCTGGAAAAAGAAATTTTTGAAGAGCACACTTTCTTCTATCAGGGTATATATAAGAAAAAAGTTTGAATATATAGAAAAGGAGAGAAAAATTTAGAACCTAAAAATTGAGGTTTTCTAGGGTTTGAAGGAAAAACTTAAAAGCTTCATAATTTTTTCAAGGAAGGTCATGGAGAGCCGGAAGTGGTCTCATTTTATAGCCCAGACTTTCCTCTACATTAGACCATGTTCAGTTCAAAATGACAGCTGAAAATCTCCTTTCAGAATCTGTATAGCTTTTGGTTACAAAAGTGGTTTTTCGAGGATTTTAAGTAAGTTTTCTAGGAGCGTCGGAAAATCGAATCTTCAAATAATAGCTTTTATTGGATACTAATGCAATTAAAATTTTACGTTTGACGTTTAATACAGCGTTTTCTGTATATAAGAGTTACACCTGGAGTATTTCCTAAGATTTTTTATAGCGGTTTGGCATAGAGAGTTTATTATTTTTTTGTTTAAAAGAGGAAAAGAAACTACATCGTCTGACCGGCGTCGATTTTTGAATTATGTCTTAGTTTTTCATCAAATTAAGGATTTTTAGAAAATCCGAAAGACTTTTTCGGGTTTTGAAGGTTGTTGGTTGCTTAGAAAACCAATAAAGGCTTAATTGAAAAATCGGCGCCAGTCAGACGCCTTAAAGAAAAACTAAATTTTTGATTAGAAATCAAATATTATTTTCTATATCTCCTTTATAAAAAATAATACTCCTTTAAATTATAGAAAAAAATTATATTTATATATCCATATTATTAAAAACCATAAGTGTTTTTGTTCCATTGAAAAATTATTTTCTGATAATGAAACACTTGAAATTCATCTTGCTCATTATTTCTCAATAGTTTCCATCAATTATAATTCCATACCATTTGTCAATCTCACATGTTTATTTGAACTCTATTGTTGTTATCTTCATCTGCTACT